ACTACTACTACTACTACTACTACTACTACTACTACTACTACTACTACTACTACAGCAACAACAACAACATTAAAAAAACCTGTCCTTGATTATCACTTTGGTGGAATTGGGGTCAATGGAAATGTAGTTCCCATGTAGGCGTATACCTTTCACAGTGCTGACGGTTGGTGGGCACCATGGTGTGGTCTTCTCCTTCTAATACTTTAAGCATTTTTTTTTTTGCCATGACATTTTCCTGATGACATGTAGGGTCTAGCACTCCCTCGACTCTCCGTACCTTACCATTCAACCCTGTATTGTGCACGCAATTTTGGGTTCAGTTTTCGACGAAGTGAGCTTTCGACTAACCGAACTAAATACAGGGAAGAGAAAGCATGGTGCGATCTAGTTCCTGACAATGGTGTCACAGGCGCAGGAACGCGTAAATCCTATTAGGAGTCAGCAGGAGGAGGTCTGCATTGATCGGTGAGAGAACTCCCGCAGCGCTGGGGGACCATAGCTATATTGTGCCGCGAGTGAATACCTGCTCGTGAAACGAACGTTGGAGATGTCGAGTTCGAGTTGTTGCTTGGAGTAGCAGCTGCCGCTTTGATGCGACAATTCAGCGTTTGACGCCACAGGCATCAGTTGACACCAGTTGAGGCGATGAATAAACAAAATTTGATTCATAATTCCTTTTTAAAACAAAAGGCTAAGACACAAACATAAATTATTATTTTTTAAATATCTGAAAGCTAAACACGTTGCTCGTAGCCACAATAAAAAAGACCCCCTCCAAAAAAAATCCAGAAAAAGAAAAGGAAATAGATCTAACGTTCGATCTCAGTGGGATTACTTTGGCAGATCTTTTGCTTAGCATGCGATTATGATTATTGTAATCTAAGGATCAATTGAACAGTTTTTGAACAGCGCCCCCCTCCCCCCCAGTCACCTTCTTAGCAAGGGAATCAACAGGGGGCACCGACATTCTAATTTTAGATTGGCAAACGTGGTCGTTTGCACTCAGAAAGACGCGTGCATTTTAGTTCGCATCGAAATTTAATTTGGTACATGTCTGTATCTTCTTTCCTTTTTTCCGCGCCTCTTTATGTGTCAAGCGCTGCATTCGAAATGGTTTGCGTGAGACTAGTAGGGGATTAGACTCAAATTAAAACAAACCTTTCATCCAAGCTTCCCGAACCTGTCCGATATTTTATTGTCCCTTCATTCGCCAGTCAGAACTTGAAGTAGAATATTTCTGAATAAGATTGAAGGAGAATACCCATTTTTATTAAGCGAGATTTGACACCTGGCGCTCGTCCTTTGATTTTATTCCCTAGGTAGTTGTACACATTAATTTTTTTCCCACAGGCCCTGCATGATTCAGGGACGGCAAAGAGAGATTATAATGCGAGGCCAGTACTTCAAAGTTTTATAGATTAACGATTTGGAAACTGAAAAATTCCGAAACCCCAAGTCCAATTCAACTGTTGACCGACTGACACCAAATCGCTCTGTAATTCGAAACATTTCAATCTTCAAGTTCAGAATAGTAGCGTTCCAAGCTTTAATTCTTCGGTGGTGAAACACAACACTGAGTACTCCTCTAAAAAAATCTGACGTATGTAGTGTAGCGGTCAAAGGTGCTTCTTCGCCGTCGCACATAGAAGACCGGAGTTTGATTTCTGTGTTTCGTAGTAAGAGTATTACGGCGCTTGCAACTGCATAAGGTCATATGAGCTCTGATTTTTCAGTGTGGCGAAAATTTATATCCGGTATCTCTATGTCCATCTGCTAGGATCTAGTATCCCTCTCAGCTCAGATTGGTCCAGAGAGGCAGGTCAAAGCCCACATCCTAAATAATCTAAATTGTTCTGATTGGGGTGTAGATAAAATTTATTTGAAAAACTGCTTAAAAAAGAAAGCAACAACATCACCCTTACCTGCTCTCACTGCCCCCCCCTCTCTCTCTCTCTCTCTCTCTCTCTCTCTCAACCCAGTCTATTCTAGATTTCTGAAGTTCTGTAGTTTTTTGCAACATTATAAACTTTCATTTCCGATGGGGCATCTGCCACGTTTCAAAGCAGCTCAAATGCAAAGACCCTTCTAGATGAATTCAAACTCGCACATCTGTCTCAATGGGAAGAGCCGCCAGTCGTTTAGACAGAATTTTGTTGTCAGTGAGTATGCTCAGTAACCTGGGAGTCGTATTGGGTCGGAAAACTTAGCCTACTAGGAAATACTTGAAAAACGCAACAAAACGAGATGCACTCTCATGAACTCATAAAGTGGGAGCGCAAAAAAAAAAAAAAAAGCTGTAGTCGAACGGAAGTTGTAAAAACTAGACAAGGTGAAGGCTGCACTTCTCGGACAAGCACAGCCAACAAGTATGGCGCTGAGTTTGGCTAAACCAGGCCCTTCGGGCAAGCCTCTAGTGACGTCCGAGCAATGGAGAGAGATGATTATTAAACTCACGAATTCCCCTCAAGCCTATGAAACCAGACTGCAGTCGAAACCATTCCCCAAAGAAGAGCAGTTTCAATGTCTTCTCTGTGACTCTTTGTTAGAACATAACATCAATTTGGATATCGATTCCGTGGCGAACAAAAACAAACTTATGAAAATAATATGCACTATCGGCCCAGCTTCAAGAGAGGTAGACAAACTAGAGCAACTGATAAAAGCAGGCATGAATATCTGCCGTCTTAATTTTTCTCACGGAACGTATGAATATCATGCTGGAACGGTGGAAAATGTGCGTCAAGCCGCTGCCAAAATGCCACGGGGACAAGTGCTGGGAGTTGCTCTGGACACAAAAGGACCCGAGATCCGGACAGGCCTTGTGAAAGGAGAAGCCTCGTCTGAGGTGGTCCTGGAAACCGGTAGGTACCGCTTTTTGTGAAAATGTTGGATGATCTAGAAATAAATAAGTACATAATGACGAGATTTGCGTGCCAAATTATAGAAATCACAAGCCCACGCACAGGAACTTTTAGCGCGTTCTGGTATCCCGATCTTAGTCTTTGTTCGCTCCCGTTTTGTGTCATCTCTTTTATAAAGCAACAACCCCCACTGGGTCGGGGGGGATATAAATAGACCCACTGCTTCGTCTGTAGGAGGTGCAACCCTTTCAAAGGCGAGGTGTCGCACACGGACCCCACCCTTCTGGGACCCGGATGCGACACCTACTTTGGTGTATCTTCCTCTTCTCCTTCCTTCTTTCTTTCTTCTTCTATCTTTTCTCCCACCGCTGACCTCATGTGCAGCAAAAAGAGAGGTCACCCATCCCACAGATTGGGCGCCTCGTTGACCGTGAGGTGCGACCCGTGCGGAGGGAAACCGGGCACCTGACGGTAGAGGTGAGATCAGTCTACGGACTGTCCCTCGCCAACACGCCTCTTTGGCCCAGGTTTTCCTTTTAGACGGAGGGTGGCACGGCCCATGCCACTCAATCGGTTGGGAGCTGAAACCCCTTCAGACCCTAGGTCAATCTTGACGGGAGGGTCTTGCACACTCTCGGAAAGGGTATAACTCCGGGGTAGCCCTGGCACAGGTCTGGCTATCCGAGCAATGTGCCCCGTTGTTGGGCTCGATGGCGGGTAGGGAGCCCCGGAGCTGAACCAACCTCACACTTTCTATGGATTCTAAAAACACCAAACACCCTTCCCTAGCTCCCAACAGTAAGAAGTCTCAGTTCGCGGAAGCGGGTGCGCCGCTGGAGCAAGCAAACCATCTATCACTACAGGAAAAAGGACCTTTACGGCCGCCTCTTTCCTCCCTTCTCCGAGGGAGCTTCCGAGGCAGCTGTACTTGACCATCCGCAGCACCGATGCGCAGAAGAAAATCACAGGTCTTAACCTGTTTAAAACCAGAGAAGCACTAAGACAAGTTCTGGAGTACATTCCTACGAATGTTCAGAAACTGTCCTCGGGTGAACTCCTCGTCAAAAGCGCATCGGATGAAGAACTGGCCAAAATGAAAAAAAATCACGACCTTCGACGGTGTTCCATGTGTATCCGAGCGACACCAGAAGTTCAACCGATCGAAGGGCGTGGTCCACAGCCATGAGCTGAAGGGCTGCCCCAACGAGGAAATTGTGGCTAATTGCGAAGGTGTGGTCGAAGCCCGCCGGATTACTCTTCGGCGGGGGGAGACCACACTCGAAACGAATATGATTATTCTAACTTTCGATTCGTGCCCGTGCCGCCCTGCAGCCACCGTTCGGGCATCATATTTGGTCCTTGACGTGCGACCCTATGTGCCAAACCCTATGCGCTGTTTCAAGTGTCAGAAGTTTGGCCATAGCCAGTCGCGATGCCGACGTGCAGTCGTGTGTCCTCGCTGCGGCAAGACTGGGCATATTGAGAAGGAATGCAAGGCTAGTCCTTGCTGCCAAAATTGCCAAGGCCAGCACACAGCCTTCAGCAAGGATTGCCCGACTTGGATCCAAGAACGCGCAATCCAAGAGCACAAAGCGCGAAATGGCTGCTCTTTCCAAGAAGCCCGCAAAGCTGTCTGCACGCCAATCGTAAACCCGGACCCTGACCGGACATGCAAAAGTACTCCGGCCAGTCATGAATTCGACCAGTACCTCTACTGCCGACTTCCCACAGACCGCAGTCAACAAGCGAGTCTCTGTAACAAAGTCAAAGAAGGTCCTTCCTACCCCTGTGGTACCCACCTTTGAGGTGCCACTGACTAACCGCTTTGGGGTATTGGAGGAGGACGGGATGGACTCTTCCTCCACCTCCCCCCTTCTTTCACTCACCCCCTTCTTTCTTCTTCTTCTTCTTCTTCTTCTTCTTCTTCTTCTTCTTCTTCTTCTTCTTCTTCTTCTTCTTCTTCTTCTTCTTCTTCTTCTTCTTCTTCTTCTTCTTCTTTTTCTTCTTCTTCTCCTTCTTCTTCTTCTTCTTCTTCTTCTTCTTCTTCTTCTTCTTCTTCTTCTTCTTCTTCTTCTTCTTCTTCTTCTTCTTCTTCTTCTTCTTCTTCTTCTTCTTCTTCTTCTTCTTCTTCTTCTTCTTCTTCTTCTTCTTCTTCTTCTTCTTCTTCTTCCACCTCACAGCCCATCACTCTGATGCAGTGTGAAGTGGTCCCTCGCCCCTCTCCCCAGCCCCCCCCCTTTCCCAGCCCCCTCTGTCTGCTCCACCTACCCCTACCCCTCCAGCAGACAAACCCCTGCCTTTGGACGAGGACAGCTCCGACCCCCCTCCCCGGCCTGACCCAGGGAAGAGCGGAGTCCGTCACTCCTCCAAATCCCCCACTAGACCGCCGTCCAATCCAGGACGGCAACCTAGAAAAAAACACTCTGCCTCCCCCACAAAGAGGAGTCAGAGTGTTAATTCGAAGCCGGGGCCTTTATGCTCCAAAAACAAAATTAAAAAGACGTAATACGGTCCTGCAATGGAATGCCGGCGGAATCCGACCTTCCATTGCAGAATTGCAACACTTACAGGCCACACTGTGCCCACGTGTGGCCTGTATACAAGAAACAAAATTCGCCCCGGCTTCAACCATAGACTTAAGAGGATTTACTGCGTATCACAACTTTCACATTGAGAACCAGATTGCTTCTGGTGGTACCACCATCTACACCGACAGCATCACACTCCACAGACAAATACATCTTAGGACGACCCTCCAGGCTATTGCGTATGGGTCACCCTGCACTGACCAATCACGATCTGCTCAGTTTATATCCCACCAAATTACCCCCTCAAAATAACCCTTTATTTTGCTAGGTGATTTTAATGCCCACAGCCCCCTTTGTGGAGACAAACCTACAGACCCGAAAGGAAAAATAATAGAAGATTTTTTAAAATTTCAAAATAACATCTGTCTCTTAAATAATAGGTCCCCAACTTACAGAAACAGAGCTACTTTTGGCACTTCATCCCTTGACGTCACCTTCTGTACCCCTGACCTAGTCCCAGATCTTGAGTGGTATGTGCTGGATGACCGTATGGACCATTTCTCAATTCTTCTAAAAAAAACCAATAGCCTCCAAAACGACCTGATCCCAGAACGCTCCAACTTCAAAAGAGCAGACTGGTACGGGTTTGCCAATCAATGTTCCCAGATTCCGAACCCCACTTTCGACCTCAACTACAATAAATTCCACGAAAAGCTTTTAGAAATATGCCACAAACACATACCAAAAACAAAAACAAAACCCCGAAAGAACAAGATCTGGTTCTATGAGGAATGTGATGATGCAGTAAAGAAAAAGAAGGCTGCGTATCGAAAGGCCGTCAACAACACCTCCACCACAGAAAACAAGATAAATTATTTAAAGGCTCGAGCTGTGGCACGTAGATGCCTCAGGGAGAGCAAAAGACAATCAATCAAAAATACATCTCCAAAATCAACAGCCAGACACCACTCAACCTAGTTTTCAAAATCGCTAAAAAAAAAATTATTGGGAAGACGCACAGACACCATTCGGCACGTCCAGAGGCCGGGTGGAACCACAGCTGAAACATAAGTAGACATCGCAAACACAATAGCTACATCTGTCGCCAAAAACTCATCCCAAGCAAGCTACAACACCACTTTTCAAAACATCAAAACTAACAGAGAACAACAACACCTAAACTTCCACTCAAACAACACTGAAACCTACAACGCAGACTTCACAATAGACGAACTAACATCGTGCATCTCGGACCTGGGCAATACAGCCCCGCGACCGGATGACACCCACAACCAGATCATAAGACACTTACCCTCAGAAACACTTACACTCCTACTAGACATATACAACGACATGTGGCGGTTGCACTCCTTTCCAGAGTCTTGGCGTCTCGCCACTGTCATTCCAATACCCAAACCAAACAAAGACCACACATACCCATCCAATTACAGACCAATAGCACTAACGAGCTGTCTGTGCAAACTTATTGCAAAAATGATTCACAGGCGACTCTTGTGGTTTCTGGAGACGACGGGCTCGCTGAGCGGTCTCCAGTGAGGATTCAGGAAAACTCGATCCACTCTGGATCACCTGGTCCGCCTGGAGACCTTTATACGCGAAACGTTCGTTGAAGGAGGCTACGAGATCGCCATCTTTTTCGACCTAGAAAAGGCCTTCGACACAACCTGGAAGTACGGCATTCACAGAGACCTGCATGCACTCGGCATACGTAGTCACCCCCCTGCCTTCACTGGCAACTTCCTGAAGAACCGTTCCTTCTAGGTTCGTGTCGGATCCTCCCTTTCAGACCCCCACCAACAGGAGGAAGAAGTCCACCAGGTGAGCATCCTTTCTCCTGTCCTATTTGAAATCAAAATAGATTCCATCGTAAAAACCCTCCAAAATAGCATAGACAGCTCGTTATACGTTGGCGACTTTTTGATAATAATATGCTGCTGTTCGAAAAATCATCTTCTGAGATCTATGGAAAAGCAGCTGCAAACGCAGCTGCACAAACTCGAAAAGTGGGCAAACAAAAACGGTTTCAAGTTCTCCCCGTCAAAGACGGTAGCAGTACACTTCTGCCGAACAGGCAGGCGTGTGCTGCAGCCGGATTTGACACTATACAGGGAAAGGATTCCTGTCCACGACCAGGCTCGTTTCCTCGGCGTTATATTCGACAAAAAACTCACATTCATACCACACATCAAAGACCTTCGTGTGAGGTGCCAGAGAGCGTTAAACGCTTTGAAAATTCTATGGCATCCGGAGTGGGGCGGGGACTCAAAACACCTTCTCCTCTTGTACATCTCCCTTGTCCGGTCCAGGCTTGACCACGGCTGTCAAGTCTATGGATCGACAAAACCACACATCCTGAAAATGCTAGACCAAGTACAAAACCAAGAACTCCGCCTCGCTCACGGGGCTTTCCGCACTTCCCCGGTTGAGAGCCTCCAGGCCGAGGCAAACATACCATCACTCTCACTCAGACGCACACAACTCTCACTACAATACACTATTAAACAGAGCTCAACACCAGAGAATCCAGCGCACAACTACATTTTTAAAACAAACCCAGAAACCATAAACAAATTCCAAAACAACGAAAAACCCATCAAACCCTTCGGCCTCAGAATCCTTAAGGACCTAAAAAATTTACGCTTTTCCAAACAAGACATCCAACAATTTCTTTTCCCCCACCTCCCTCCGTGGCCCCTCACCAAGGCAAAAGTAGACTTACAGCTGACCACACACAACAAAGAAAGCACAAGCACCAAAAATGTTAAAGCAGAATAAAAAAAAAACTAATAGAAAAATACCCCGGTGCGGAGCTTACCTTCACGGATGGCGCCAAAAAAGACAATGATGTGGGCGCTGCAGCCCTGTCTTTAAACAGTACACACCAGAGGAGACTCCATCCTGAAGCCTCCATTTTCTCTGCGGAGGCCACTGCCATTGACATGGCACTGCACTCCGTAGAAATTCTCATAACAAATCTTTCCTTATCCATTTTGACTCTCTGTCTTGCTTCCCCTCACTCACAAACTACACACTCCTGCACCCAAAGATAGTTAGGCTACAACAGAAAATGCACACCCTATCTGAATCAGGGAAAAATATCATGTTCGCATGGATACCTAGCCATGTGGGCATCCGAGGAAACGAGCTGACGAAGAAATCCTCATCCCTTCTGTTGGGATCAACAACGAACACTCTCCCACAGACTGACTTTAAAAATAAAGTACATAAGTACACCTCCAGTCTGTGGGAGAGCCACTGGAAAAAACAGAAGAATAACAAACTCTATAATATAAAACCCAAATTGGGACCGCGAAATCCTTCGGACCTCCCCAGAAGAGACGAAGTCATTTGTACTCGATTGCGCATCGGGCACACGGCCCTGACACACACATGCATCCTACAGGGAGATGAGAAGCCGTTGTGTGTCGGATGCGACACAGATTTTACCATTAGACATATTTTAACCGAATGTCTAGACTTTGGAGAGATCCGAAGGAAATACTTTAAACGCAAAAAATTGCAAGACGTTTTTTCCGTCGTGAGTCCAAACAGAATTTTGGATTTTATTGAAGGCCATTGGCCTTTATGGGAAGTTATAGAACAGAATTAAATTATCAAAAAATTTTGTGAAGGTTATTTTAGATTGAAAAAATATATATTTATACCAAATTTTAAATATTTTTAACGTTTTAAGATCAAATGACCCGTATTCAACCGTGCAGTGAACTGCGAATAAAAAAAACTAAGTTGTGTTTCGCGCTCTCATATGACCTTTTGCAGTTACGAGCGCCGTAAAACCCCATACTAAACAAATATAAAGCCTCGTGATGAAAATAATATGGTTTATTGTTAACTATTCTGAGAATAGTTTTAAAGCGTTCAATCCCAACACGTCGTAATTTACCCCTAAGTCTGAGGGTGCTTCGTGAAACAGCATCCAACTTCGCACATATTATTTATTTCGTTTTGTTTGCAAGAAGGAAAGAGCATTCCTGGGGGCTAATCCGCCAATTCTGTCAGTTGTTAATATCGCGACAGGAATTTCTACGTAAGTAGATAGTGTTTTTGGTACCTAAACAACATTACTCAATGTCTTTTCAGGAAAAACAATCCGCTTAACAATCAATGATGAATTCAAAGAGAAATGCTCGGCCGAGGTGCTCTGGTGTGACTACAAGAACCTCCTAAAGACACTCGATGTAGGCGGCCTGATTTACATTGACGACGGCCTCATCTCGCTGAGGGCCAAGGAGAAAACATCAGACTCTTTCATATGCGATATTGTCAATGGAGGCAGTCTCGGAAGCAAAAAGGCAAGTCGTTTGTTACTGCTTATAAAGAGAGCACATCGCAGACATGCGACCTTTTCAAAATGATATAATTCTTTATGGAAATTATTTCACACAGGCTGTTTCAAAATAAGATTTCAGTTGCAGATAATACACCGTGACACACAGGTCCAACCGTTTGACGTCAATCGCAAGTGTGCACTCTATTGAGGTAGATGTCACAAATCCTTCCCAATTTCAGTTTTTTTCCACCGCACGCCTCCTAAATGATCGATTTCTACTGGGTGGGATGGAGGTGCTATCGTCTTAGGTGTACAACACAAGTTCAAATTTAAAAAACCCGTTGCATTTGAGCATTTACATACATATGTATGGCATAATATTAATAATAATATACTTCTTTGTATTGACTGTCATCTGGAGTTTTCTCGTACTACTCCTTTATTGCAACTGCAAGGCCAAAGCTCTGCCCTTGAAATAACTTTATCGTTTAACTACAGCTTTATTTTTTTTCTCCCAACTATCAAAAGGACGATCATGTAACTTTCGTCAAGTAACTCACTTTCGCAAACGCATGTTAGGAATCGAGTACTTACGAACTCCTGACTGCTCGCGCGTACATGCACGCACACACACACACACACACACACACACATCA